TTTGTAACTTGAAGAGCTGCTGGATCATCTCCATAATGGGCCGTCTGCCCACAAACAAGCTCCTCTTTGGGGGTAAATGAGATCAGGCCAGCCCAGGACCAGCTGGTGGCTTGGATCAATGACACCAGATAGAGCAGATATAGAGATGGAGGAAGAGGGCAGAACCGAGGCATCTGGACAGGATGGCAGAAACATGCCCGAGAGGCTTTGGCGTTCTCTGGAGGTTTCGCCCAGGGACACGGATACACGCATGCAAAGTACAAGTGGAACGACCGTGTCCATAAGAGGATTATGTCCTCCTGTTTGAAGTGGAACAAGGCACGTTCCAGATGGAATCTGATCCCTCGCAGGATGGCGGACAGGTTGGACGGTTGACCAGATCAGTGCCTGCTAACTACAGCTTTCTAAGAACAAAACATCCACCACACAAATGGACTCGAAATACCACAACATCTGCCATCCTACTGCCATACACTGTTTTTACCACATCCACAACACCCATAAACATATGTTAAGCACTTCACAGAGTTGATGATGTAACTTTACAGCAGTTAACTAATACACTGAGACAGGGCATAGCCAGATTTAAGTGTCACCAGGAGAAACTGATATGACAGAGAAATAAATGGGCCCCTACAGCTGCCTATGGTAAAGGGAGTAAATCATTCTGTCAGCACCAGTGCCTGGCACAAATGCCTATCATTCCACACGTGGTGGCGATGTTGAGGGCAGGCTGGGTAGCCTCTGACATAACCTTGACCACATCAGGCACTCAGCCAGAGAAGCACACATACAGCAATGTCGATGTAAAGAGGGACCCACTGACACAAATATCTGCCACAGCCACAGGTAGCAGAGCAGCGTAGTGACTGACAGAGCAACCACCGTTTTGGCCCCATTTTTAACATGTCCAATGCTGAATCACACCAAGCAACCAGGCGCCACTCACACATTGGGCCATGAAAAATTTGGTCTTGAAGCCTAGCAACAAGGCTGTGAACCACGTCTATTATCCATCCTCCCACCAGAGGAATTCAGAGCGTCCAAACACAGCAAATTACTGCAGCTGCTGGCAAATACAGCCTCAAAACCGCACCGGCAGTTGCCAACTGCATGCCCTGACAACTGTGACAACCAAGGCTGCTATCATGACTGGGAGCACAGACGACAGCAGCGTTTATCTCCACTTTATCTTCACAGCACAAATTCACTGCAGAGCCCATGGCAGTTTCCTCGAGCCGCAATCACCCCGAAAACACAGAGGGAAACACAGTGTCTGTTGGTGTTTTGATAATCTCGAAACAAGAAACTATTGTGCTGTTGTTGCCATGGATAAAACAGGGCTGGAGGTGATGGTGGTCATTTTTAAAGATGCAAAAAAAAAGTGCAAGGGTCACGGGTTCAGTCTGAAAAAAACCTGATGACTAGAGGCACAGGCTTGCCCTTGTCACAATTGAGAAGTTCAGAGCTGGGGGGGTTCAATTTGAGTCACACACCCACCAAACACCAGCCCTTAGGCTAAGGGCAAGCCGACACATTGGTCTATTAATGCGACAACCCTCTCAGGATGGAGGCACAGGTCAGGAGGCCAGCTGGGGGCAAAATAGGTTATTAGAATTTAAATTGTCCTAAAATACAAGCTCATGAAAGACATCCAATGTGAAAATTTTCTGTGACCATTTTTCATTATGTTTTGCAAAGAATAATCTCAACAGAAGAGGCACGTCAATGGTGCACTAAGATTTTTCTCTGGGTTGTTAAGTGGCTCTCAGTCTCATGTTGTTGTTAGAAATGCAACTAACAGGTGTCATTATCATTATCAATTAAGTGAGTTTAGGGGCCAATTAAAACACATTTTAATTATCTATTCATCTGCAGACCATTTTCTCATTTACTTCATTTATCATTTTGTCTATAAAATGTCAGAAAATTGTGAAAAATTCCCATAATAACTTTCCAGAATCCAAGGTGGCAAATTCAAATTGCAAAGATAGTCAGGTTACTATCAAACAACAAAGAAAAGCAGTAAATACTTTATAGGCTGGAACCAGTGGATGTTTGGCATTTTCTGGAAATAAGAAATTACTGAAACTAGAGATGTTCCGAAAGTTGCCAGTGGCTGCACAGCGCAACTCTTCGAATATGTTACTGTTTCAGAGCAATGAAGAATTGATTTCTGTGAAAACTGCCATTTTATAAAGGGGTGAAATTACTTAAAAGTTCATCAATAAATTACGTGGTATGGAGTATGTGCCCAGACTCACGTACTCCCCTGCATCGAATACAACATTTGAGGCAGTATTTGAGACATTTCAGATACTGGTATTGGTATCAGAACATCCCTAACTTAAACAATTATTAAATTGTTGCTGATCATTTCTCTTTTGATTGATAAGCTGGTTAATTGGCTAATTGTTTCATCTCTAGCTGAATCAATAAATTATTTGAAAATGTTAACAAATAATGCCCAAACCAATGGCTTAACACAGCTGAAGTACCACCTTGGAAATATACACATTAAAATTAAAAGAAAACATATTTTTGCATTTGTGAACCTGTAAGCAGACCCACAGCAAATATTTCACTTTGATTTACATTTACTAATTAACCGATTATTAATCATTATCAAAATAACAACTATTTAATAGGTTGTCAAGCCGCTCATTAATTAATTCAATAGACATTTCATAATAAGCAGCCATATTTTCAAATGTCTGCTCCCTCTGCGTATGGAGGATCAGGCTTCAGCTCATGATTTTTTTTTTTTTTTTTTTACTGCCGAGTAATCTGCCGATCATTTTCTCAATTAATCAACTAGTTATTTGGTCTATAAAATGTGGAAAAATGTCAAGATGGCGTCCTCAAGTGTCTTGTTTTGTCCACAACTTTTTTTTTTTTTTTTTTTACTGCCGAGTAATCTGCCGATCATTTTCTCAATTAATCAACTAGTTATTTGGTCTATAAAATGTGGAAAAATGTCAAGATGGCGTCCTCAAGTGTCTTGTTTTGTCCACAACACAAAGAGATTCAGTTTGACGTCATAGAGGAAACAAGAAAATATTCACATTTATGAAGCTGGAATCAGAGCATTTTGACTTTTTTTCTTTAAAAAATTACTCAAACCGATATATTGATCATTAAACAAGTTGGATATTACTTTAACAACTAATCAATTTATCATTCCAGCTCTGTGAATTGTTTCAGACACTGGTTACGCACTCTTATTCTTATTGCTATGGGTAGCTAACACTGTAGACACTCACACCTTTGTGTCTCATCCAACAGAGCACAGATCTGCTGCAAGAGACAAAGTAATGCACCCAATTAAAATAAATAAACTAACTAGGATTGAGAAAGATGTAACAATGGTCTACTCGATAATGGCAAGAAAATTGTGCTCAATTTTTTTTAAATATATATGTGTGTACGTGCGTATGTGTGTGTGTTTTGCTTTTGCAATTATACAATAATCTGCGTTATTTATTAAACAGTATAGTTTCTGTTTTCTTCCCGCACACAAAGCGCCCCAGGCACTAATCCACATCCTCCATCTACATCCTCCAATAATCTTTTTAAGATCATGTTAAATAACTTCATAAAAACAGAGTGTGGTTTATAATGGCAGCTAAATTTAATTTTCATATGATTGCATTAGGCTGCCTGTCTGTCCTCCATTTCCCTGCCTCATCCACCAACACTGTGAGTCAGCCATTCTCTCATCCATGCACCAGGGGAGGTGGACTAGTTGATGGCTTAGCCCACCTCTGACTTAAGAGCCCTGGAGTGTCTCCAAGCCCTGCGTGGCAGAGCCTTAAAAGTGTTCATATTAGTCGCCCCAGGATGCCATTTACTGAGGATGACATCAATACCTCATGGTTGATCGCCACACATTACTGACCGATCCATGCCCACAGTGGCCACAAAGCTTGAGACAATTTATGTCGCTGTCTGCAGCACATCAGGGGAGGAGAATAGAGTTGTGGGCTGAGGATAAAGATTTTCAATGCTTGCATGCTTGCAGTTTATTAAATGCTTTTGGCCAGGCTTTGGGAGCTGGCAGTGTTCTCTCCTCCCCATTGTTCTACAAAAGGGAGTGTAATCTGTCTTGTTGCACTCACTCACACCGAAAAGAGTCAGTGAAGGAGCAGCTACGGGGCCCTGCAGTCTTAACTCTCACACCACAATAGCCGATCACTTTTGGGGGTGACATTAATCACCTCTGATTACATGCCAGCTTGAGTCCGTGCACAACCATCTCAGAGGATGTTTCAGCTTCACACACTCCCTCCGAGGTCTGGGGAAATTGTTGCTTTTCACACGCCACAAATGCCCCTAAGTTATCCGGTTTGGTTGACGTGAAAACTGAGTGGGCATCTGCTAAATTATTAGCGCTAAATTTGCCGGCTTCTCCCCCAGAGGCGACTGAAACATTTCTCAGCACTCGCACCACTTGGCCCATCACAGAACAATGGGCATCCGCGATGGAGGATGGAGAAGGAGGGGAGAGGAGAACAAAAAGTTTAGGGAGGGAAAAGGCAGACAAAATGGTCACATACACAAAGAAGCATTCATGATAATGGAAAAGAGGAAAAATTAAAACAATATATGTGGTTTAGGTTTGCCTAACAGATCTGTTGAGCACTTCCAGCGACCATGCAGCCTGCCACCGCCCCATCTGCCCCTTTCAACAGGAATCTGAAACACAGCGGCTCATCGACTGAAACACCAACTGACACCGAAACACAACATTTTAAACGTTTTTAACTGCGAATTTAACACAAATATTCATTCACACAAAGAGCCGCCTTTATTCAGATACACTGTTTGGTAATAAAAATGTGGAAACACAAGTAATAACACGCTAAGTACACGTTATGACTCCAACGGTTGTAACGGCCAACAGACCTAACGTTCATTTTAAAGGTTCGGTTCCGATAGACGTTAATTAGCTTGACAGTAGTTAGCATGCTAGCTAACAGCTAAAACAATCTCGCCCTTACCAGTCGGTGCAGCGGCGAGCTAGCAAGATCCTCTCCAGCTACGCCCAGTGTTAGCAGTACCGCACAACCCCGACTGGCTCCTGGAGTCAGAGGGAAAAAATGAGGATAAGAATGAAAAACCGGGAGGAAAATCACCGGAGCTGCGCGAAACGAGCCGAGCCGACAGACAAGAAACTTCTGGGTCTCGAGCGCCGTTTCTCCTCACAAGTGATGCGCGTTCACTGAAAGAAGAAAGGAGGAGAATGACGCTCCAGTCCGCTCACACACACACTCTCTGTTACACACACACACACACACACACACACACACACACACACACACACACAGACACTCTCTGCTAAACACACACTGTTACACACTGTTACACACTGTTACACACACACACACACACACACACACACACGAACGATAGTAAACCGGTGAACGGATGGATGGACAGGCGGAGGAGAGGAGAGGGCTGCTGCCTTCAGGTGCTACAGGAAATGTCGGAATAACGAAAGGTTTACATATAAAATACCGATAATCTTGTTTTATTTATTTATTTATTTTAAATGTTTATTCAAATTTGAATTATACACTGCTACTACGCCAGGAAACAGAAAGAAAAAAACATTTATAAACACAGTTTTAACTAAAAAAAACAACAACCTTAAATTAAAATAAAATAAAACAAAACAAAGCAAAACAAAATAAAATAAGTTAAGATAAAATAAAATAAAATAAAATGAAATAAAATAAAATAAACATTAAAATAAGTCAATATTTGTTGTTTTTTATTATTTTATTTGATTATTTTTTGTCTTTTGCCTTATTTTTTATTTCATTTATTTATTTACATTTAAAAAACATTTTTATAACCTTTATCGTTTACTTTTATTTAATTTGTATGATGCATTTCGTTTTTTGTTTTTTTTGTTGTTTTTTTTTTAAAGTGCCTAGTCTAAACATGAAAACGGGAGAGCTACCCACCAAGCCCCCACTAAACCACCAGGTGCCCAGTCGATATCAGTTTTGGGCAAATTCACAATAAAATCAGTCCAGCACCTTATCACATTGGTAATTACAGGAGCCCATAGACTCAAAAACCGATCTATCTTTACATGGAGTTATTACTTCCATTGACTACACTTTCAGGGTGGGTGGGAGGCAGCTAGCTAGCTTCAGCTAAGATAGAGTAAGAATATGCAGCAAGTAAGTATTGTTCTTATCCATTGCTCCATCAGGGATTGCTCTTAAAATTAAAAAAAACAATGGATCTAATGATAAGTCAGTGTTTGAAATGACCAGTATCTGTGTATGAATCCAGTTATCTCTTTCTATTATTCAAAATTATTCAGGCATAGGCATAGAAACCATAACCACAGAGAGCACATGTCCACATATAAGGCACATTAGGTAAGGAATTATATTAAAATCCTAACACAACATAACATAAAGTACAATGAAATAAATAAAATGGATGGTTACTCTCAGAGTCCTCAAATATTTTCTTTTGTGAGAGGAGCAAGTAGTTGGTTTCTGGTTGACAACCAGTCCTGTAAATCCTACCCAGAATGCCTCAGTGTATAGGCTATACAGTGGAAAAACAGATGACTGGTGGTTTCAATTTCAGTGTCACAAAAGATGCAGTTATTGTGATCAACATTAAGTCTCAGTCTCAGCAGTTCATTGGATGAGTAAATATTATTCCAAATTTTAAAGTGCATTTCTTCTACCAGTAATCATTTTGAGCTGTTTAAAAGAAGAAGACAAAATGAATGAGGATGCAAAAGCAGGGTCCTACAGCTAAAGTGGGATCTGGTTCTCTGTGTGTCAGTTGCAGACGTAACAGTCAGTGTTAATTAATTAATTTGTGGTTGTACAGAAAAAGAAGCAAAATAACTTGACACTTGATAAATAATGTAATGGAATAGCTCAACATTCAGAGAAATATGTTTATGACATTACAGCCTTAGCCAGTTAAATTAGCCTAGCATAATAATGTAACTCCTTTGTAATCACCAACAATTTGATTAGTAACTGTAATTTAATACACATTTTTCTCAGTAACTGTATCTGATTACAAATACATTTATTTTGTAAATTACTTAATGTGACATGTAGCCTCGCTAGTGACTCCCTAACACTGACAGTGACTGAAACAGTTAGCCTGGTCCTGTCCAAAAGTAACAAAATCAACCTGCCAGCACCTCTATAGCTCAGTAATTAACATCTATGTGTTTAATCTAAAGCCACAATTTGCCATTTTATGAGGGTTTTTGTTCCGGACTATTTCCTGGCTGGGAGCAGTTGCTAAGTAACCAAAGGAGACTGCAGGAAGTTACTGGTCCTGGCCAAGAAACAGCCTATTTTCATTATTCTAGCATCTTCTTTATACTTTATATTTTAAAGAAGCAGAAAAACAACAGAAACATTATAGAATAAACAGTAAGTCACATATGTACTCATACAAACATACTGCTGGTGGAAACACAGTTCATACAGTAAAGTATCACTAATCATCTCATGAGAAATTAGAAATACTTTATTGATCCCCAGGGGCAAAGTGTGATATGTCACGGTTGCTTTGATATTTAGCATAAAGAATTATAAGAAAGTAAAAATAACAACTGTAAAAATGAGAAATACATAAAGATATAAAAATATGTGCTATTATATGCTAACTATAGTGACAATTTAAACACAAGTACACACATTGGCTTCACTATAACTCACAGCATTCACAGACAAACACACAATACAACATGCTAATGTTTTTAGCAGAACCCTATGGCATTTTACATTGTAGAAATTAGCCTAGTGGCTAGCTGACTTTTCTTCTACTCATATGAAGCCAGGGACAACAGCAACATTTAACAAAGGTAACGTTACAAAATTCGGCTCCATTACAACTCACAAGGTTCACTGACAAAACAACTGTCTTATACTAAACACGTTTTCCAAACAAATATAACATGCTGACGTTATTAGCACAAGCCTATGGCATTTTACATTGTATAAATTAGCCTAGCAACTAGCGGAGATTTCCTCTGCTCATATGAAGCCAGGATAAATCACACACAAGACTTAAAATGCTATTTTGTGGAGGCTTTATTGTCTTCACAGTTTGTTTCTTATCTGTGAAATAAAAGCTTCGTTTCCACTGAGGGAAATGGTTTCAGCTCACAAAAATAGGCAGGACTTCTGCGTTGCCGCAATGTGTAGTTACATTTCTGGGGAGGTGCACGTCAGGCTATGGTGTAGGTACGGCATCGATTTGACACAGAAGTATAAATCTCACTTAACTTTTAGCACAATGAAACAAGCATACCTTTCTGAAGTGAGGGAAACATGACACTGGGGGGTGTTGGGGACCTTGATGGGCTTCTTTGCCCGAGGCCCCCCCAGAGTCTAGGATCACCACTGCTTGGAGTAGCCAGCTGGTATCTGGAGCTTTAGGAAAGTATGGTGAAGATGCCGTGTGTATACTACAGTAAAGCACAGAGTGTAAGGACAGCGTGTTAATCACTGGGCGTCCATAGCAGGATGCCCACAGGTATTGTCATACATAAATAGAAGGCTATTAAATAATGTTATTACACCTGTTTGACAAGCCTTAATTTCCATTAAAGATGTCTTTGTAAAGAGTTGGGATCCACCCTGCCAAGCCGGTCAGTCATAAATTTCATCAGAGGGATATCAAAACAAATTTTGTTAGTCCTGTTAAATGTGCAAACACTGCTATCATGTGCAATATTTTAATAAAGGGTGGGTCCTACTCCCTTCCCTGTGTTGTTTTGTTTAGCATATTATTTCTGGTGTGACAACGTGAATTACATAATGAAAAGCAAATTTGTTTTATATAAGAATCAGGAAAAAACATTTCTTTTTACAACTCCCCATCTCAGAAACAGGAGGCTTCTCCGGGCCCTTGAATGCAGCATTCACCACGACAGCGCGCCATGCTGAAATTGAAAGGGGTGAATAGCAAATAGCAGGGGAACTCTGCTTTCTCTAAGCACGGCCAATCACCACCCAGGCTGGGGGATTATTCAAATTAAGGATGATGTCACCTCTTGCAAGTCACCCTACTCTCTTGCCCGAGTTCTTCCCAGTTGTCTGTTGCCCTCCTCCCTCTTCGGCCCCTGCGCCTCCTTTTTCTCTCCTCTTCAAACCCTTTTCTTCCTTTCTTCATGCCCCGCTGCACACACACACACACACACACACACACACACACACACACACACACACTTTAACGGTGCATTACTGCTGCCCCACATGCATCAAGTTGCAAGCATTGTCTGCCTTCAATGTGACTGTTGCATCAAGAATTTAAAAGCCTGAACACATCTCAGACCTGTTGATTGTAGTGAAGTTATTTACAAATTATGATGTAATCCTGCTCTGCATATGTACACAAAGTTTAAGGTTTTGCTATCTTTTTTTGTTTCTTTGTCTGAAAAGTCAAATTTCCTTCATGCAACAGACCTACAAAACTGGCTGCAGCTGAACACGTGCACCTGTCTGCCATTTCAGTCTGTCACATCCTGAGCAAACAGAGCTGGAATCGGAGGAAAACAGGTGAGCTCGGCAGCAGGAAATACAGACAGCGAGGAGCAGCAGACACAGTATTCCTTCCTTTTGGTCATGTTTTCCCTCAGTCACAGTTAGACACCGAAGGGCGTTGTTTCATGGCTCGCAAGCTTTTGTTTCTGCGCGCCGTGCTCCTCAACAGAACGGGGCTTTTCATCAGAGACAGTCTGGGTGGGCATGCCGCCTGTCTGCCTGTCTGTCTGTCTGCTGCGCTGCTGCTCAGCTCCCAGCAGCCGCCTGCCCTTGTCTCCATGAGCCAGGCTTTTGTGCACTGGTCTGTTGTGGATGGGCTTCTTTTCATGTCGAGCCCGTGGTGCACTCTTCTCTTTCCAAGTTCTGGAGAGGGGAGATTTGTTTGAGCTCAGGGGGGAAATGTGTGGCACAAAACCAAAACTACGCACCTGACTGCATAAAAACATGTTGTCTCTTTGTTTGTCTTTATCTTCGTCTGTCAGATTTCCAGAGGAAGTTTTGTTTGTGCTCCTCTAAAGTGGATTAGCTTGTTATCGCTTGCTTTACCGAAGGTCAAGTCACACCCTCAGAAATATCTGGATTAAACAAGCTATGTAAAAAAGTGATCAGACTTCATTGTGTGGACATGTGATCATACACATGCAGGTGTGTTCGACATGGAAGGAGACAAGGAAGAGGGTGGGGACTCCGGGGGTGTTCCGATGCCTGCTGGCTTGACGCTGATGGACGTATT